ATGTGGGGATTTCTGCTGATAGGACCTCCCTGCTATAGCTCCGGTATGGTGACCCTTGCTAACGTTGAGTTTCTGTTCAACAAGTATGCTGGGCACTCCTCCAGGTATATACCCATCCTACGACTGCTATGTGGGGATCTCTGCTGATAGTCAAGTTTCCGTTTGACAATGAGCTTCTCACTATAGCTCCGGTTGGCAACCCTTGCTGAACGTCACAAATTTTGTTTGACAACTATGCTGGGCAAGTATATATCTGTTACATGGAACTCAACTGTGCATGATTACTCCTGGAACCTTCGAGGGCTCAGGTGTTAAAGAGGGGGGTAATGTCATGCCTTGCCTGATTTTGCTTCCTTACCTATCATATTCCTCCTTACTACCTCCCTATATCTCCCCACTGTATACCCAGAGCTCCCCTTGTCCGCTTTTACCATTATGTAATATGCCACATGGCTGTCACATGTATAGTATTTAGGCTGGGGACTCCCCTCGGAGCTCCCCAGCGTGTTATTGTCAAATCTTACCTGGAAACTCTTCCTACCTGGCTTGGTCCCTTTAGTACAGTCTACTAGTACTTGCTAACAGGGCCTGACACGTCTCAACAGTCATATATTTCCTCATTATCTGTTTCCTTTATCTCTGTCTCACCTCAACTCTGTTTCTCCTCTCTGTTTCCTATCTCTGGCCTCTTTCTGTCAATCCTCGTATTGTCTACGCCTCTACTTCGACTCACCATCTACGTCGAGGCTCTACAATTCGTCCTTCATCCTTTGGAACCTCCCATTAGGTTCCCAATTCTGCTTCATTGCTCCCTAAGCTCCCCACAGCTTCCCACTTGTATTGGCTACACCTCCCCTCCACATCGAAGCGGTGGTTACGCGTTACGTTCTACACCTCCAGGACCCTCTATTAGGTCTACCCAAGCTCCACAACTACCCCTGGTTAGGCTCCCCTCACCAGTATCGGCACTATTCCATACCTCCTCATACGGCCTAGGCGGCTACTGCATTCGCTTAGGCCCAGTCTGGGTAAGACCAGAGCAGGCCTTCTGTGCCGGGGCCTCACACAAATTCGCATTTTTCGGGTCGTAGGTAGAGGTCGTGCTTTTCTAACCGAGTTAATACTTCCCGTACCATTCGTCGGTGTTCCTCGAGATCGTTACTGAAGATAAGGATGTCATCTAGGTAGACTGCCACCTTGCCGGCTGCAATGAGATCAGCAAATATAGCATTCATAAGTGCTTGGAACGTGGCAGGGGAATTTGTGAGACCAAAGAACATGACCTTAGGCTCGAACAAGCCTCGGGTTGTTGCGAACGCGCCTTTCCATTCATGCCCCTTCTTAATCCGTATGTTATTGTAACCCCAGCGGACATCAAACTTCGTGAAGTATCTGGCTCCCTGAAGTCGGCTAATGATGTCAGCAACTAATGGGAGCGGGTATCGGTTCTTCACAGTGTACTCGTTCAGTTTCCGGTAGTCTTGTACGGAACGGAGTTTCCCATCCTTCTTCTTTACGAAGAAGACCGGTGATGAGATTGGTGATTTTGAGGGGACGATATAGCCTTTCCGTAGGTTTTCTTCTAGGAAACGATCCAACTCCTCCTGCTCGTTTAGGGACATGGGATAAATCTTGGTACGCATGGTTGCCGGTGCTCCAGGTACGAGATCAATCGCATGGTCCCAAGGTTGGTGGGCAGGTAATCGTTCGGAGGCGGATTCTGAGAAAACCTTCTTGAAATCACGATACTGCTCAGGGACCATTTCTTCGAAGGTTTTAACGGGTTTGTCTCGGTTGGCTTCCTCTGCTAGCTGCTGGGAGTAAGTGAATCCTGCGGCGCACCAGACTTCCTCCGTCTGTTCCTCTAGAATTCCTGCTTTTACCCATGCCCGGCGAGTTTTATGATTGGCTCGAATTCGGTGTATTGGTGGTTCTTCCACCGCTGCTGATTCACTCGGTTCAAGGGTCGCTTCTAGTGGCACCTCAATGTGGGGGTTTTCTGCAGGAGGTTCCAGTTCCGGGAGTTCGAGAATCGGGGTTTCTGTGTGAGTGGCGGCTAGATGAGAGTACAAGATCTCCTCGTCTGGGACTTCTTCTATCGTTACTTGAGGAGGCTTTACTGAAAGTCGTCCTTTCTCCCAATCAATCTCCGGATTTACCTTCCGTAGCCAGGGGAGTCCAAGGATGATGTCTTCACCTCCTAGGTTGGTGATCAGAAAGTCCATCCATCGCTCTTGATTATCCACTGTGAGTGCTAGACGTGCAAAATGGGTTATCCGTCCAGCTCGGTTAGGTGTTCCATCGATATTAAAAACGTCGATTGGTTTATGGAGGGGTGCACATCTTACATGGTTCCGGGTGACAAAATCTTGGTTTAAAAACAGGGCGGTAGCTCCACAGTCTACCATGGCTGCAGTTGTTATACTGTGATTCCTTCCTCTTAGTCTCGCATGAATTCGGAAATGTGGGGAAGTAGAGTTTAATTCCCGGATCGACGATATTGTACATGATGGGTGCGAGTCATACGAGGAAGTAGCGAACATAACAAACTGATTACGGGGTACTCTCGGTGCAGCCGAAGCGGGTACCCTCTTTAAAAACCCTGTTGAAAGCCAGAGGACGAGGAGGACATAGCGTTAGCACGATCAAGTAATTCCCTTATTTGACCAATCTGATTGGAAAAGTCCTGGTTAGGGGGGCTCGGAGTAGCAGCTACGGGTGCAGGAGCAGATGTTGGGGTCGAGGACGCGATTTGGACGGATTCGTTTGGGAATAGGGAGAATGGCACGGGTCCCGTAGCGGATATCTGTTGGCGTCAAGGTTGCTGGCGTCGGCCTCGGTCTCGTCCGAGTCCCATGAATTTGTCTTGGCAGACTGCTTCCAGATGTCCTCGACGTCCACAGTAGCGGCAGGTGGTTTCTCGGTGTGGGCAGTTTTGCTTGACATGACCTTGGGCACCGCAGCCGAAGCATCGTCCTCGCATGCGAGCTAGGAATGCTTCCCTAGTATTCCCATTACTGGTGTGGGTTGCATCAATGTCCATAGCATGGGGGTCAGCAGGGGTAGTATGAGCGGTATGCGTGGGAGGGTATCCAGAGTTCCGGCCAGTCATGGTGGGATCGTGCAGGTAGACATCCACCGATATGGCCCGTTTGATTGCCTCCTTCAGAGTCGGAGCAATTCCTTGGGCAATGTTTACGGTGATGAGGTGTTGTCGGATCTCTGGGAGTAATGCAGTGAAGAAACGTTCCCGCAAGTCAATATCAGACATTTCAGTCCGATCTCCGATATCCTTGAACTTCTGAGCGAATTCCGCAACTGTCTGTCCTTTACTTTGCCTGAGATTCTTGATCTCGCTACAGGCTTCCATACCTGGGTCCATTGGTTCAAACCGTTGGCTAAATTCCTTCAGAAACGCCTCCCAATTTCCTCCGAAAGGGGGATTTTCCGCATTGAAATGTAGCAGATGGGGAGTTGCCCAATCTCCGGCACTTTCTGTGAAGAAGCCCAAGGCGGACTTGATGAGTTTTACTTGGCTTTTGGCGAGATCCGGTTGTTCTGACGCCCAATTCTGGAACTGAGCCATGAAGCGACGGGCTTCAGCGCCATCTTTACCCTTGAAAACCTCGGGTTTGTTCATGCTTGACTTAGAGGATGAGCGTTCCTCCATAGCTGTAGCAAGGTTAGCTACTTGTCTGATGAGCTGAGCCATGAGATCCTCCGCAGAGGTGTTTGGGGCAGGCGGGATAGGAGTCGACATGATGGGAGTAGGCAATCGGGGCTGGGGAATCGGCAGGAAGGTTATATTGCTCACAGTGAGTGGCTCTCGGATTGAGTTCGAAAGGGCGTTGGGGCAAGGTTGAGACTGGCAATCGCGCCAAGTATCGTCGTTGTTATGGGCGTGAGCTTGGTCTCTGGGGTCAAGTGCGTGCGGGAGTGTGGAGCAGTCTATACTGGCAACAGGTGTTTCAGAGTTGGGCGGAACTGGGGAAGACGTGGTGTCTATAGACCCTGCAAGGACAACCTTATTGGTAGGCTGTCAGTGCAGTAATGGATCTTGACCTAATGTCACGAAGCGGCAGAGGCGGAGTGACTAACGGAGCGGGAAAGCGGAGCGACTAAGCAGAACGGTGAGGCGGAGCGACTGGACAAGGCAACAAGGCGGAGCGACTAAGCAGAACGGCGGCAGGCTGGTCCCAGATAATGACAGAGATATATTGAGTATCGTAGTCATAGGTAATAATAAGTAAGCACATACCTGGTCCCAGATAATGACAGAGAGGTCAAGATAAGGGACCAGGCTGTGGAGGGTTGGCTATATATACATAATCCGGTCTGCGAGAAACAACGATGTAATACTGTACAGTTTAGGAACAAGGAAGGTGGCGGAAGCCAATAGAAGGAGAAGATGGGTCAGGTGGATCAGTAATCGATGGGGGTTTGACAGTGATGGGATGATGTATCGTACAAGTAAAGGCGTCGAGACGGTGAGAAAAGGAAAATGATAGGGGCTGCGTACTTTATGACATGGTCCCAGATAATGACAGAGAGGTCAAGATAAGGGACCAGGCTGTGAAGGGTTGGCTATATATACATAATCCGGTCTGCGAGAAACAACGATGTAATACTGTACAGTTTAGGAACAAGGAAGGTGGCGGAAGCCAGTAGAAGGAGAAGATGGGTCAGGTGGATCAGTAATCGATGGATCAGTAATCGATGGGGGTTTGACAGTGATGGGATGATGTATCGTACAAGTAAAGGCGTCGAGACGGTGAGAAAAGGAAAATGATAGGGGCTGCGTACTTTATGACAGATACTTCACTTACTGGTGGTGAGGACATCAAAACATGCCAGAGAAATGAAGGTTGCGATAGTAGCTGAAGACAACTAAGTGGTCGGACACGAGTTGCATGATCGCAACAGATTTCATACATACATCTGCATATTATTGAAATATCAATTCATCTTGAGGCTTTAAATGGTCCCAAAGCAAAACATGCTTACAGCTTATCAGAAGACTGAGAACACGAGGACTGAACGCCTTGCCACTGAATCCAGCAAACAGGAATAAGATGCCACGACAGAGTCAGCTGCAGCTTGAACGAGTTGATCACATATACACCGAGGTAGAAGACTTACAACATCTAGTCCAACAATGGCCACACCTAATGCAGTGAGGATCACCACGAAGAAAAGTCTTCCGTCCATGATGGCATAAACCCGTAATGCAAACGACGCTGGGAAAAGACCATAAGCACTCCGACGAGTAGGAGAGGCGCGTAGTGTTAGGTTGACGTACCAGTTATTGCTGCACGGGTAGGGATGAAAGAGGTGTACCAAAAGAATTGATACAGAGCATCACAGCTATAATTTGAATGTCATCGGAGGAACTACTATGATATGCTTATAAAATGGACATACTACATAGCAAATTAGATCGGAGGAAAATAACAAGCATGCAAGTGAAGACTATCTCACCTGCGGAGTGCTGGTCTTGTAGCACAACTCCCAGACCTGAAAAACAACAACAGGGTATCGGTTCATGTAGTAGATCACATTCGACCATCGAAAATTGGCACTCCAGACGAGATCCACTTCTCGTCCGAGATTGATGAGGATCTCGTACGCTAGCACCGCTAAGTCCATAGCAAGGTCAAGTCAATATATAATCTTCAAGGAACAGAAGGGACCAGAAAGTAGCGGCACTTACTGGTTTTGGCATATGATGCATAGTTAACAATGCGACTGTCAAGGGTTTCCTGATAAGCTTTGCTTGTACGGAGCCACCATCACAAGAAACACCACAAACATTCCATTCTCCGATATTGTAGCCGGAGTAGCCATAGCTCGGACAGACAAGTGAGGTGACGTTAAGAAGAGTTGGAACAGTATAGATCGAGAAGAACTTCAAGATAGGTAACAATTCCGTTCAAATAAGAAATCGCTGGAGCGGTAAGACGGTACCGTCTGGTATTGTCAATTCAGCTGATTGCAATTCGAACTGTTCTTGAAATAGATACCGGAAGAAGATTGAATACAGTGCCAACAGGCACTTCTCATCACCCGATCAACCGTAAAAAGTACAAATTCTTAGAATTTTTTCAGAGCTTGTAGTTAACATCGGAATATAGCCAAATTATGCTCATTTGACTTGTAGAAGATCTATATACCTGGCTTGTGCTTTGCTAAGCCTATGGTCAACTTTTACTTTTACCCCCACTGACCGAAAATGAACCAGCTTAGTCATCGCCTAATTAGGAAGGTGCCTTCCATATATGGAAGGTACACGTGGTCACTACATCATAAGGACACGATGTTCCAGCTTGATTGTCACAGGTGTACGGTGATGGCTGGTATATTTCTTCACAGCATGTTCAGCCTGTTTGATACTGAGCCCATGTCTGAGGAAACAGTAGAAATTAGAGCATGTAGGAATACTTCCAAAGGAAAGTTTTCATACTTGTATGCATCCATGCATCAATAACCATATTGTAAGTAACGGCAGATAGTGTTTATGGAAATCTGAAGTATCAGGAGTAGTGGGCGACGCATCTATCACTCCAATACTTTTGATTTTTTCTGAGTCAAGAAAGTGAACACCGTGGGAAAACATTGCCAAATGCGGAACATATTTCTTTCTCGACGTGAATAGCATTCTTTTGGTTGGTTTCATTCCAAAACTATTTTTATTATGATTTTAACTATTTTTTTCCACTCAAACTTGACCTGTTGGAGAAGTGCCTGTTGGCACTGTAGAGTGACAGAACCACGAAATTCCAGATCCTATGGTTCCTCGGTTCCCGCTAGTGCAGTTTATGGGCAACGTTACAGTATACGAGCACAAACGGAGAAAGAGGAAACGCTGAGACAATTCACGCATGGCCATTGAGACAGGTCATATCTGTTGATGCAAGATCGCGATGATTCCATTCGGATAGTCGGTCTATTCGTTTGTACAGATGTAATATACGTAGCACTGGATGACCTGTCCCATTTCGACTGTTGACACTGCATGCTATACTGGTACCGCAAAGACCAAAAGCCAATAGTCCGATAATAAGACGGGACCGGAGAAGGTTTTGCTTTTGCTTTATTCATGGTTCCAATGGTTGAACTCTGACCATAGGAGGGGTTGGAGTTGTGCAATAGTTATATCTCGTCCAAACACGACACAGATCAAGGCAGAAGGACGACAAGAAGCCTGAAAGCATTGATTCAATGGAATTTCTAGTGCATAACTAAGATTGAACAGGACACGTACAAGCAACATAACAAAATGGTTGAACACGATCGTGGATAGCCCTATTCGGCCGTGCATTGGAATATGATTGTAACCAACCCGAATCCTGGTTTTCACGCGTGCATTTAAAGTACTGACCACTCTCCCAAATACGATTTTGGTAAGTAGAAGGAATTAGAAAAGAAAAGATACGCAGATTCCCACGATAAGAAGGGTTTTCCGTCTGAATCTGTACAGTATCTATCTGTATCGAATCACAATCGCAGAAATCGAACTACCATGGCTGAAGAATATCATTGTAATATAGTAATTGATTCACGGAAGAACATCGAGCAAGAGATCCGCCGACTAGATTTTTTGCATTCGGTTTGCTTCGGTATGGTGAAGTTATCTTGACCTCGCCCGAGTTTTTTACTAGGTGCGCACTATCTTGATACAGAGCGTTTTTCACGAGCTGCCCGCGGGGAGCGGACTGACTATAAGCGCTGTAGCGGACTTGGAATGAGAGCGCTTCTAATACCGGGCTCTTCCACAACTAAGCTACCGGAAGTCATTTCCTTATCACTTCGTCTCACTTCGTGCGCAACGATTCCGTACTACTGAATGGATCCTGATTTTATCCTCTACCCAAGAAGGACACTGCTCTAATGGCATTTCTAGACCTTCGGACCCTATTCCTAGCAGGAGCCATCCAAACGTATGTATGTGGAAACCTGCGATATTTCGCAGGCAACACTGAGCGGGACTCACACGGGAACCAAGGCTACTAGGGATTGAGTATGATTGAGAGAGAGATCTGGGTACAGTGGGAGAGTACTCTATAAGATCGAATGGAAGTATGTGGTGCACCTAAGTATGAGTCGTCAATATTTCAATGGTTCAATTCGCGAAATTTATTCAGGCCACCTATATTTGCAAGCTCTGATGGACGCTGGGAGCAGTTGGAACATTGTCTAACCAGACACAGAGACTGTAGTCGCGAGAAGTACCTCTAGCTCGGCTCCAGTTCCATTGTCGGAGGAGCATATTTGGTTGGGCCCTTCAGGGATGCAGACGACATCGTTACTCGTGGTGTAAAGAGGTCATAGACTGCCACGTCAATATGATATGGATAAAATCTCGTGGGCCGAGTCCTTTGACTTCGTCCTCGGTATTCCTGACAGATTTTCAGATGCTTCAACTTGTTTTCGGCAAAGTGTTTATGTATCACGCTGTTGCCGATGAGCTAGACCTAGGGTACTCAAGAGAAGGCGTGCAGAGCAGAATGGCGGATATATGATTTTTCGCTTCTGGATTTCCTCCGTGACCATATGTTTCGGAGGATAGAATATTGAATGCTTATGGGGAACTGTGGCCAATGAAATTATTGCACGTAATGGAGAATAAATCTGACCTTTGTGAGGTTCAACTGCTGTTTGAGAGTGAGAACCACGTCACGGAACAGGAGCACTTCAAGCTATCGGTACCCGCACTGATCAGCACCCCAGAATATACTGATCCATCGATACAATGAGGGTTTGTACGTTTATTTATTGACGTGGAAGAAGAGATGGCAACGGTTAAGCGCGACAGAGCATGAAGAATGGAAGATATGTATCCGTCGGAATACAGTGAGATAACGTGAAGAGAGGAAAAGAAATGAGAATAATAGCAGTCTTGCTGTAAGAGCCACGTATATCAGCAGAGGTGAACAGTTTGAATGATCTCGATTCTCACTGAAATCATTCAAGTGCTACGCTGCATGTGCTTCGCTTCTTCAGCTTTGTAGACAGCTCTTGCTTACACACATAGGCTCTAGAAACAAATTTAATTGAATACTGAATCTTCTCTGGCAAAAAGTCTTGCTTTGTCGAAAGCAGAGACCTTGTAGTGTTGTTATAAATCGCTAGGTACGAGCAAGAGGTGTCGAACATTCAGGTCGGATTCACTTGTCACTTTTGTGTCCGAGTCAGCTTGTGTCGCCACGAGATAGGTCCAAGGCCCAGAATTTTGATTGCAAACTTTTGCTCAGTTTTGTCGTGCACAAATGCGGTCAGATAGCTCGAGCTATATTGTCAGTGAATTCCTACAACATTTTTGAAATGGAGCAGAGCAAGGTCGAAGGAAAGAAGAATGAATAATCACAAACTTACTGTTATCCGATTGAGTAACGAAAAGCTTTGCCGTGTTGCACCCGAATCAGACACCCCTTGGCTACGAGGCACCAGGACTCAACTCGTCATCTAACTCTGTCGAGCCGGCCCCGGCGATCAATATTCCAATGCTGATTTACTTTTTTCAAAAGAGATTCTTCACCCTACTTCAGCCTCCTTTACACACGATATCTACTCAACGCTCTCGGGCCCAGTGGCAATATAATAAGTCTGGCCCGGGCAAGGTCCTCCGAATGTGCTCGGAGGGCTTTAGTGAATTGTTGTGCTGTTTGCGCGGTTCGGTGGTGGGCTGTGGTGGGTCACCAAATATTTGGCTGAATGGTCTTCTATCAGTTTACGAGCATCAAGGAAAATTCCACAGTCTACGGAGAAACAGCTGTTTGGCCCAGGGTACTACTACTCAGAAGCGAAAGTACAATGTCGGAGTCTAGACTCAGTCGCAGAAACTTGATCTGCGAAATCACTTTTTGCGCCGACCAGTATTCAAAGTGTTCGCAATGAAGCTACCGGCTGGGTCTGGCTTAAGTAACTCTCAAATCGATCGTCCTCTGTAACTCCTCTATCCGCCTCACTCGCAGTGGATTATCATCAAGGGACTCGGAAGGAGATTCTCCATGATGTGAGAGTTTCTCCTTCTGTGACGGACGTCTCGCACATCAGGAACTGCAGTAACAATATCATTCCGGTAAACTGAACTTCTATCTTTTCGCGTCTGTGTAATTTCGCTAACAACTCCATAGTCTTGCGAAATACCTACTCAATATCTCAGTCAGCGAGCCCTGTAATCACTGAAAGAAATCGCATTCGTCCACCGAATGAACTCATATAAATACAAGTAATGCACAACGACTGTCCCCAGCACTTCAGCAATGACTCCACTAATTCTCGTATGTCACTTTCGTCCTGCAAGAGAAATCATACACTAGCTCACCTCCTTCTGAAATGTTCAGGTAACTGGCGGCACAGGCTTTCTCGGCTCGCATGTCGTGGCACAACTCTTGGAGAAAGGTTATCGTGTCCGATCTGCAGCTCGGTCTGCTACCAAACAACGAAAAATCTTCCCAGACAACCCAAATCTCGAGGTTGTTGAAATACCCACCCTCACTTCCGATTACACCGAGAGTTTGAAGGGTGTGGACGCAGTCATTCACATTGCAGCACAGCTATTCGCCAAAACCAATTCTGTAGACGAGATATATGAAGTCTGTCCCCTATATTTTTTCATTTTTTTACTGGCGATTTATTCTGTTTTGCAGGCCGCATGTGACGGTACTATTAATATCGTTCACCAGTCAATTGATGCAGGTGTCAAGAAGATTATCATCACTGGAACTTTTGCGAGTCTTTTTGATAGTGAGACTTTCATATAAATTTCACATCGCTCGTGTGCTGACCCTTCCTTAGCACAATTGAATACAGGATCTGGCACAGAGCTGGTCACAGAGGAGTTCTATAATCCTGTGACACCGGAAACCTTTCATCGTGATCAACCTCTGATGGCTGCATACCAAGAGTCAAAGACGCTGGCATCTAAGAGAGTCTGGCAAGTGGCGGAGAAGCATCCTGACGTCGATATCACAATCTGTGGGTCCACTTGACAGGCATTTCAGACAGCGGACTTTGTCTAATATGAATTTATCAGTGCTTCCTACACTCATTTTCGGGCCTCATGTGCCAAATTTTCCTGTTACAAACGCTCAAACCAGCATTGGAAGCAACTTCAACCTCATAAAAATTATCACCACAGGTACTGATGCCTACCCCACTTTTCCGCATGGGCATTTAGTCGACGTGCGTGACATTGCCCGTGCTCACGTCGCCGCACTTTGTGTTCCTCCTATTCCTGGGCGTAAGAAGAGGTTCATCATTTCGAATACGACATTCAAGTGGAAAGACGTAGCCGATTTGATACGTCGAGAAAGGCCTGAACTTGCACATAGGCTTCCGAGAGAGGACATTGTACCTCCAAAGCAATCGGATGCTCCGCTCGATACCAGTTTCGCGGCAAAGGTTTTGGGATTGAAGGAGTACATACCGTGGGAGGAGACAGTGCTCGCCGGTGTAGATGTACAAATTGCTTGGGAGAAGCGGAAGGACCTCTTGAGTTCCATCTGAAATTCAGAATGTACGGAAAATTCAAGGATGTATTCCGTGGGGCGCATGCTCAAGTGCCAATTCCTTTCCTTCCTTCCACCGGTTTTATTTTTATGTATAAGAAACCAATATTACGATTTTATGTTCATCAATGTCAATACAGTCAGACTGTGATACTCGTGGGCCGATAGAGTGAAATGAAACCTGAAGAAAGGACAAAGGCGAACGGTGACCTTGTACCAAAACGGCGTTGATTGGGGGAGATTTCTGATTTTGAGCCTTCCTTTCATGCACATTGGTAACAGTTAGTACCCGGACGGTCCTTAAAGACCGTTCATCTAGTTTACCAGAATGGAGATAAGTAACTGGGGATTCCCTGTTACATACAGAAGCATACAGGAAACGAGAAACAAATGGGGACTATTTCGATCATGCTGTCCGCTTGTATTTGCGCCGAGTTAGCCTAGTGTTATGTGCACAGTAGCTCTAGAGACTAAGAGTACCTGTCCCGCTTCAGCCGAGAGGACGAAAGTTAAAAGTTTTCTGAAGCGGACGAAGGTTCGAAAGTCAGAGAGAAAGTAGGGGCGCCGCTGATCAAAGCCTCCTGGTCCCCTTCTCACCACGTTTCTTCAACTTGTACGGTCATCGCAAAATTGACAACACGAAATCTTCAATTAGCCCAGGTGCAATTTTCAATGAACTTGTCGGCGACGGTAGTTTGTGCCAAGTATACAGAAAGACAGACATAGAAGGTCACGATATCTGCGTACAAGGGCGCTTGATTGGTTCTGTGCAAATACATACCTTTCAGGCTCGTTGATGTCATTCTACTGCCACTGCGAAAAAGTTGCAGTTACATTCCTACAAATATCTGACTATCTTGATCTATTCCTCACGCCCACTTAATGATATCCTCGTTCGACGGTCCGATCGGATCCTCAGATGCGGCAAGATTACATTGATGATAGACGCGAACTTGATCTGGTTGCAGTGTTCCAACAACGGTGTGGAGGACTCCTCGATTGTGAAAGATTATCAAGTCCTTGTCATTCCTATATGACATAGTAACTCCTGAATGATCACGTTCAGTATAAGATCCAGTAACCACACACCATTTATGGGGATACACCAACTATTATCAGATATTAGAATCTGGTGGTTACTAAAATAGGTACGTGAAGATACCCACACTCGGTGCAATGGCAGGTCTTTGCATTCGGTAAAGTAAATCCCTAACCTCGCTCAATTCATTCGGATGAGCGCCATCTGGATACAGAGCATTTTCACGAGATGCACCAGGAGGGAGCGGCTTGATCAAAACTTCTGTAGCACAGCAAGGATGGACTTGGAATGAGAGCGCTTCCGATACTGGGTTCTTCCACAACTAAGCCATTAGAAGTCAATTTCCTATCACTTTTGCGCGACTGTCAATTCGTACCACTGGATGGATCTTGATTTTATCCTCTACCCAAGAAGGAAGCTGCTCTAATGGCGTTTCTAGACTTTCGGACTCAATTCCTAGCCCGGTCGATTTGGCATGTGCGGGGGCCATCCAAACATATGGATGTGGTGCATCTAAATACGAATACGAGTCGTCAATGGTTCAATTCTCGAAATCTATTTAGGCCACCTACATTTGACGTTCGCCCGAACAGCAACACTCTTCAGCTCTGATGGGAGCAGTTGGAACATTGTCTGACCAGACACAAAAGCTGTAGTCGCAAGAGGTACCTCTAGCTCGTCTCCAGTTCCATCATCGTAGCGGCATATCTGGTTGGGCCCTTCAGGAACACGTACGGCATACAAAGTTGTGACTCGTGGTGGAGAGAGGTCATAGAGCGCCGCGTCAATATGCCATCGATAGAATCTCGTGAATCCTTTGACTTCGTCCTCGGGACTTATGATGGTTTTGTGAAATGTCTTGTGAGTCAGATGCTTCAATCTAGTTTCGGCAAGTCCTTCATGGTCATGTATCATGCCGTTACCGATGAGTTGGACTTGGGGTACTCGAGGGATGGCGTGGAGAGCAGAATGAAGGATGGACGATTTTTCACTCTCTAGCTTACCTCCGTGACCATATATTTCGGAATCAGGATCGAACTCCTATTGGGGATTGTGGTTCAAGACATGACTTGCACATAAACAAGACTGGAATCGACCTTTGTGAGCTTCAGTTGCTGTTCGGGAGTGAGAACCACATCACGGAAGAGGAGAACTTCATGCTATAGGTACCCACTATAGTTAATACTCTGCGCGAAGAATATGTCGATAGGTACATACTTGGTACAGCGCCTGCTTGATATCTTCCAGTTGTTCGGATGTGCAATTTCCAGGATTGATACCCTTCACTTCACGGCCAAAATTGATGAAATGCGACGGTTCTGCGCTATTGGGTAGAGGTAAAGGCTTTAATTCGATGGTCATCGTGATTGAAGTATAGCTCGTTATCGAGAGGGGGAGCGAGGAAGAAAGCCCTTAGTCACAGGACCGATTAAGACATCCATTAAAGTGATGTCCACTTTAAAATACAGTAATTCATTCAGATTAGTACTAACCGCACCAGATCTATACTTGAATAGCAGCCTTCCATGTGAGTTGGTCAGACATTTTGCAGTGTTGGCGCAGCGAATTAGTTCAGAAATCTAAAAGGTAGGATGATACTTGAGATTGATTGCAAAAGAGAACATAACGTGGCGAAGACAACGCGACGCGTGAAAGGCACATGAGACGGAGCTCCGGGACGGAAAACCAAATTTCCAGCGCAGGCCTCGATTTGACTGTGAACTTCAGGGAAGGCTTACTGGCCGTCATGCTTCTCTTACGCCCAACATCCATCGCTCAAAGGACTTTCAAGTTTTCAACGCGAAAATATGCAACAGAAGCTGGACAGGTAGCTCTCATATAAAGTTACCCGGAGATTCCGCTATTTATCAAGAACGAATAGCTACGGAAAACCGGTCTTTATGATTTTCATGTTGAAAACAAAGCAAAAATGGTACCCTTTGCTGGGTACTCGATGCCTCTATCATATGGAGATGTAGGGCAGGGTACACGCTAAACGTTCTTCTTATACAAATTTGTCTAATATTCATCACAGTCGCCAGCCATAACCATGTCCGCACTGATGCGGGCCTCTTTGATGTCGGGCATATGGTTCAGTCAAAGTGAGCTTTATACTGTACTGTGATCCAGTCACTTATGTTGATAATCCCCCTAGCTTCCGGGGCCCAACTGCGACACAATTTCTAGAATGGTTGACACCGTCCTCATTATCGTCTTTAAAACCGTACAGTTCAACTCTGTCAGTCATCTTGAACGAGAAGGGTGGTATCATAGATGACACAATAGTCACAAAGCACGCCGAAGATGCATTTTATGTTGTCACGAACGCCGGACGGAGAGATCGTGATTTAGCTTGGTTCATAGAAAAACTGGAACAGTGGAATTCCACTGAATATGCAAAGAATGGTCCGGTGGAAATGGAGGTCTTGGAGAACTGGGGCTTGATTGCCTTACAAGGTACGTGAATCACCTCGACCTATAATTCTACTGGCGCCAATTTGTATCTCTAGGACCAAGGGCTGCATCCTACCTTCAAGCTCTCACTTCCTTCGACCTGCAAAAATTAACATTCGGCACCTCTGCATTCGTTCCTTTGGAAGGTTTCAATCTCCATGTTGCCCGAGGAGGATACACCGGAGAAGATGGCTTCGAAATATCCATACCGCCATCGGAAACAGTCGAGGTCGCAAAAATACTTTCAAAATACCCTGTTCAACTCACGGGTCTTGGTGCTCGAGACAGCTTACGTCTGGAGGCGGGTATGTGCCTTTACGGTAATGATTTGGACGAAGATACAACACCTGTAGAGGCTGGATTGTCTTGGGTAATTGGTATGTACCGATTTCACTGATGACATACTTCTACTCAAAACCAACAATGACAGGGAAGGAAAGGAAAGAAAGTGGTGAATTCATTGGCGCAGAAGGCGTTCGAGAACACTTGAAGAACGGTCCACCCAGACGGAGGGTAGGGTTAATAATAGAAGGGGCACCTGCTAGACGTAAGTGGATTTATGATGTTTTCTGTTTAGTCAAACTGACGCTGATTTCCCTGTTCTGGCAGAGGGAGCTAAGATTTTCTCAGGTACCGAACAGATTGGAACAATCACATCAGGAATTCCTTCGCCAACACTGAACAAAAACATCGCTATGGGATACGTTAAGAATGGTTTCCACAAGAAGGGTACTGAGCTCGAGGTTGAAGTGAGAAATCGTAGACGCCAGGCCGTGGTTACATCCATGCCCTTTGTCAAGCCTAATTATTGGAGAGGATAATAAGGGATAATAGCGTATCTGGGATAACCTGTAATAGCCCATCAGTCCCTCAGATTTCATTGTTTTGGTTCCCAGATCCTGACACATTCATTTCGAGTATGTTCTTTGAGAGGAATGCGTGCATGAATGGTTGTCTATGAATGGTTGTCTATGTTCATCAACAGTGACTCTACATAGTTTAACTCTAGGTATTTCTCGTTCATAGTCCTTATCCAGTATTCTTGCATCACGAATGATATGTCAACTCGTGGAGGATGGAGAGTAAATGACATACCGGAAAGGTACCTTTCAGTCATCTTTCAGTTTACTGTTTTCCACTTTGAGCGTGGTGTGATCATCGCGCAGTTCTCCAGATACCTTAGGGGCTTTCTCCCAAGAGACCCACCCAGTGTAATGCTTGGTCGCCGTCTGTGACTTTATTCTCAACCCTGAGGTAGTTGGAGGCAGCTCCGGGGTGAAATTGACCTCGACAGTGAATTTCTGTTCGTTTCCTATTGCAGTCGGAGCAATCTGACCCCATTCAGAGACAGTGAGACGCATGCGGCCTGACGGGTCCAAGGCAGCTTTGATTAATAATTTCACCGCGTTTTCGATTTTCACTTTCTGAGTCTCGTCTTCATTATTTGCTCCGATGATAGGGTATGGACTATCGAATTTAACCTTAGCTCTGAAAGCAGGGGAAGCCCGGGGACGTAGAGATTGCAAGTTTGTAACGCCGGTGTCACTGGAGTCGACGGCAAACGGTCCCTGTAGAGGGTGCATCAAGAATCAGTTCATTATACTATTCCGAGACGCAATCACTCACAAGAGGTGCAGCGATCGCCAACGCAATCGAGAGGAGACCCAGGATCAAAAGGGAGTAGGATTTAGTGGCAGAACTGAGCATATTGGGATTGGGCTTGTGAAAATTTCAAATTTCCTGCTTTGAACAGAACGCAGCGAATGTTAATTAGATTTTCGAGCGAAAAGCGGGATGGAATACCAAGGAGAGAAAAATGAAGCAGATGAGACGCAGTTTCACTAGGTTTCACTTGGAGGCTTTGTCCAGCAAAGCAAAGAGCGGGGAGGGAACGAACAACACTGGCCAGCGGTGGAGTAAAGGGTAAAGAACTGAGGCCTGAGGAACTACTTAGTATATGTATGTAGTAATCAGGGAACAGCCAAGTCCTATTTATCCGCCGGATCATCTTGGTCTATAGAACTCCTACGGTCAGACATATTCTTATTCGTAACAGTAATAATAGTATCCATTTCACATACTCAAAGACTACGATGTAACCTCCTCTTTGCGTTCCCCAATCGACGACTCGACATCGCTCTCTTTCTCTTCCTCCGCATCCTTTTCCTGTGGCAGAACCAGATTCATTATCACTGCAACGATCCCTGCTGCGAGGACTACATCCGAATGTAAGATCAGTGTTCAGACGACTTGTGATATAAGAGAGGGAAGCGCGTACAAGGAGTGCTTAAAATGATGGTGATCGAGTTGAAGAGACCTTGCAGGCCACTGTTGGGATTGTTGACGCCATTGAAAAGTTCAGTGAATATTTTTGGAACAAGCAGATCCCCAATGCCGAATGACATAGCCGCCGCGAGGACGAATCTATCTCTGCGGGTGAACTGCATCAATGCAAGAACCCGAATACCAGACACCTAGGAAGGAAGAACTTGGGGTCACAAATCGACGCCTCAATTGTCGATGAATCTTACCACAACAGAAGCAAAGAGGAACGTTGTGACACCGCCAATGACTGGATTCGGGACTAGGTAGTACGAAGGATCATTCAGAAATGTGTGGACTCTGGCGAAGCGGAGCGCTCACTAGCAAGGAAAACGCCAGATATCTTGCCTAATACACCAAAAAGGATGAGGAATGCGCAACACCATCTTCCAGCAGACCGATTCGCGCAGCGTGTCATGGCGATTACACCATTATTCTGCAACTGAAATGAGATTCATATGGGATGAGAGATTGTTCTAAGCTCACCTGAGCAAAAATTGATAAAGGAGTGACCGTGAATAGAGCTGAAAGGAACCCCCCAATACCATCACTCTTGGGATTTGTGAGTTGTCCAAGCTTTAACATGAAAGTAAGAGAAACACGTTACTTACCAAGACCCCTCCCTGCACCCGGGAGTCGAACTCAATTCCACGTACGTCCACGCGAGAACATTCCGCAGATGCGGTGATGTCGCCTATTGCTTCCATGGCCAGAGAGACTAAGGAAAGGGAACTGTCAAACGTCGAAAACAAGGAGATAGTTGACTGATTAATCACCATATACTGCTAACACTAGGAACGAAATTAGACCCAGGATGTTAAGTAAAAGGTTCACATTAGCTTACTTGGAAGGATGGCGGGAGGATATACACCGATCTTGAAAGTATGAACCCTTGGAACATGATTCAGGAACGCAAAAAAAAGAATTTGGAAGAGAATGATTACCATAAGAAGGTGATTGGGGGAGCGCTAGAGATACTGGATCCATCGATGTAGCCAGTGGCACCCGCGACGATACATCCAACAGCCAGACCGACGATAATACTGATGTTTTTTAGGAATGGCGAACCGAACATCTCGGTGAGCACGATGCTGATGAAAGACAAGAACCCAAGCCCGATGAATTCAGGTGAGCCCCACGGTAAAGGCCTTGGTGCGAGAGTAGTCGGACACAGCGCGTAAATACCGGTTGGGGCTGTCTGACAGTTGTTCGAGCCTCCGCCCCAGTTTGGGACACCAGAGCTACCAATAAGCGATGCTCCGATCAATAAAACGACAGTTCCTGGAAGGGAGAAGTTGAGGAGGAGGTCGATGTTTCAATCCGGAATTGTGTATACATACCGGTAACCAATGGAGGGAAAATACGTTTGAGGACACGAGGAGGGATGAACGCGAGGAACATTTCGAGGAACGAGCAGATAAGAGATGTTCCTGCCGTTCAGCAAATGAATATTGTGCATGAAAATGAAGAAAGATGAACTAGAACGAACCTAACACTTTACCGTAGGCATCTGGACATGCATTACGAACCGCGGTGCCATCGGAGTCCACAGTTGATGTACATGTTCCATCTTGGTACATAGCGTCGAATATCTATAGAATATAAACATGGCACCTAGAAGTACTGGATATTAACGTACAGCACTCGCGGTAGATAGTGTTGCAAAGCTGGTACCAACGACTATTTGCAATATGTTATCATTAAATGAGGTAGAATGCTGTAAGACGCTCACCACTTATCAAACCCATTCCCAAGTAGTATCCATAGAACAAAGGGGTTCGAGATATTTGGACAAGGCTGAGAATACCTGTACCATCAATCAGTAATTGGTTTATTATTGTGATTTTGGACGCACCACATCCAATTAAAGACGCCGATATCATGTACGCTGAGGTGGTACTGTCCAGATTTAACGAACTTGCAAAGATGATTGGCGGCGTGATTAAACCTATGTACGTTCTATGAGCTCCAGGTGCGCATTATGCCGATGGGACACATACCAGCAAGCATAGCTAAAGCATGCTGAAGCCCGCTAGAGATCGCCAGAGCCAGTGGAAGATCAGCGTCTAAGCTGTAAAACGGAGGTTGTTTTCTTGAAGCCTTCGCGCTAAAAGGTAAGGCCGGAATACAGAGCCAGGCGTAGTCATAGTCTCCAAACCACCCATCCTTCGTTGTAACTTTGCGCTTTGCGAATGCAATACGTTTTTTGAAAGAAGTTCGGCCTGGTGATTCCGTCTCAACTTGGCTTTCGAGAGTATTGAGATTAGGAGGGTCAATACTCTCAGGCTGATTCTTCCGAAGCGACGAAGAAGACATGGGTAGATCAGTCCAAGTAATCTCGTTCTTCTGGGAAATTCAAACTCACAGATGCAGCCATATGCCCATCAGTACTAATAACAATCCAATTGAATGCTTATCGAAGGAGCGAGATAAGCCTGTAAGATAGTTTGAAAAAGTTTGACATTTATAAACATATAAATCATTAAAAAAACCTCCGAGACATACCTGTTATCCTCGATAAGAATTTCATCGCCGTGGCATTTGGAGAATGCTCATTTTTTGGAGACGGAAGGAGTTGTGTATGTATGGACCGGGTAATCGAACGCAAGAGGTGAGGGAGATTCAGATCGGGTACACGATTCTCACGACCCCCCCCCCCCCCCCCCAATGAATAGAGAGTCCAGGCAGGGTCTATTTGTAGAACTGTCTCAAACGCCCTTCAAGCTCACATATACCTTCCAGACTGTACCTAAGTAGTTGGATATCATCAATAAGTGACACAAACACAGGTATTCGAAGATTTCGAACAAGTTTTATGGCCTCTCGAACCGTCATAGGATGCCGTGCAGCTCGGCTTGGGCTTGGTCAGGGCCTTTCGCGTGGCAACATAAGTACCCCCGATCTGAATCTCCCTCACCTCTTGATCGAACGGGAGAGACAGGTATACTGTTATGTCATCAAATAATGTCAAAGCGAATTCCGGGCGCTCAAGCTATCTCCTACTGTTACTTCGGCCTACAACATCGACCTTCAGCCTAAACACTTCCTGTAGTGACTTAGCACACTGCTGGTTATAGGATATTGAACTTCGCTACCCGCCCTTACAGGTGAGCGGTTTTCAGTCTACTGCTTCGCTCCGCTGTTATGGTCCTGTGTGCGTAAGTATTCGAATTTGATTTTCTGTCTATGTCCCTCCGATCTACCTCAAGCTCAAGATTGATGTCGAAAATCTATTCACACCTTTTGAACGGAGTAAATTTCAGAAAAATTCTCACTGTGCGCCAATGAAATATAGCATTTTCAATGTCGGACCTGCTTCCAGATGCTGGACATCATGATGGGTGGGTTCATACACGCCATCGCAAAAATCCGCAACGAGTATAGGCCACGCAGCGTCTTGATTAATATCTCCTTCAGGGCGTAAAAAAACAGGCTGGCGCTTCCAGCAGAAAGTATTCTACCGAACACATCAAGCCATGCTCAAAACTGGAAGCAATGATCTGGAATAGAATACGGAAGCGCCTGGAAGCGCGATGACCCAGCACTTGCACATAACATCAAGGAGTGAGTGCAGTGTTTTTGGATCTCCAATTGGACGGCAGCAACACCCCCCGAACATTTCACTTTGTCTCAACTGCTCCTCCTCCTCTTTCATTTGTCACTCAAGTTTCATTCTGCACCTTTTTATTTGCATTGCAGTCATGGAATTCGGCAATACGGAATTTGGTTCAAATGATCCAAGGTCAGAGCGGGAGTCGCGTAGGTACTAACTTCTCACGACCCGACCATTGTTCCTCACAAAAAGTGCAAGTTCTTTCACTACAATTTCCACAGCACCACCCACTCTTCACACGTACAGCACCCATCGTATAAGTTCTCAGACCTGGGCACCCTTTTCCATACACATGCGACCATGTGGATGAACGAACGTCGCTACTTACCAGAATACCCGGTCCAACCACAAGTTGATAGTAATAGTCAAATTCCAACAAGTCGTATCGGAGGGAAACTGGTTTCTAAAGGGTGATTTCAGTTACAAACACTGCACTTTACGACACATAGAGCTTATCACTTGTTCAAGAATACCTTCCGCTTTACCTGAACTGACACAACCTCATAGAATGTCATACACGACTCCATTTTATCGACCAGCGCACCCGAACGAACTTGAAGCTCAGGCCTTCCAGCTCCACCGAGCGCCCACTCATAGACCGTTAGGGTTATGGGCCTATGTTGATCCAACTTGGAACACAACTCAACATGTTCAAAATCGTACTAGTGTCGCTATCCCATCCCCGGCAACATACTGTATACCCAATCCCTGCATTCAAACTCCTCCTGTCCCTCAAACGCGCGATGGACAACAAAACTATGATGACGACGAGGCAGCAACGTTCTCTGTTTGCGGGTCATTCGACGATCGCCTGCGAAACAGAGATTTACTAGACGTGGTTCAAAATGAAAATGTCCTCCAACCAATTTTTGGACGATTTGATTCGTCTGTGGATTCAGCTATACCCTTGGGACCCGGAACCGACGTGACAGACCCAGTACCCGTAACTGTCGCTGGACTGGAAAAACTCATCCAAGACCATGCCCGGAGAAATCAGAACTATTTTGATTATCATTCATCCTCGACAACAACAACCATCATATCCTTGCCTCCCTTGACCGAGTTAAATCTGAGCACTCATAATTCGCAATCTACGCACGATTGCTTACGACCTGTTGAAGCTGTGGCTTGCTGTGACGAGGAAATTGGAACCAAGTCACAATCAGCCATGGAGTTGCTGCTGGCGATGGGGGGCAGGAGATCGAAGTCAATCGAGAAGGTGATGAGGTGGAGAATGGGTTGTATTTGAATGGAATAGGTGCAAGTTTTGTTCATGTATAGTAGTGCTATTCGGCCTAGGGTCCGAGTTAGCCCGGTGAGATTGACGATTTTGTCGTTGATGCCAAGGCTACTCAAGTCACTCCATGCGAAATGATTCAACACTGGTCAGCACTGGGTCAGCATGCGATGTATGTATGCTATTAAATGAGCCTAGACTACTGCGTATACTTTAACAATAATGCAACAAAACAGAACAGAACAGGAAAAAAATATTCGACCTTTCTACCCAATGACGATAGGTTTATACACAAGTTCTTAGTCCTTCTGAACCTTGCTTATGCCAAACCGCTTTGTGAAGTTCAAACCTGCCCCGGACATCCTCCTCCCCTTCCTTCCGCGTTTACTTGACACCACGGACCACGTTGATTGGTAGGATCTTTCAGAGGGCGGCCTCTCCTGAGCACAAAGCACATTCAGAGTAGATCATAACGAGAAGGAAAAAAAGAGCCTACAATCGAGATTTGAGAAGATGATTTATCCATCGGGAACCGGAAATTACTTGAGATCAATGAATCTCTCGAAGACTGTTTGGGATATTAAAATGCATTGTTTCCAAAGCAAATAAAAACATACTATTTCGATATGACTTTTATTATTTTGCTTCAGCTGCAAGTTGGCGTTTGATATGAAAGTCCTGCTTGAATTGTAGTCAGGCTGATAAGTATGATGAGTATGTCAGTAAATCTCATAGTTTGATTCATCCGCTTCAGGAAAAGAACAAACCTTCAATAGTAATTCAGGTTGCTCCGAGTCATTTCTCGGGCTCCAATCCTAGTTATGAGATTAAATTTGTGCTGCACATAGTGTTATCATAGTACTCACTAATTCCGTATATTCTGTTGAATCAGGCTCTGGAGACCATGTGAATAAACAGGACTTCGACACTAATTGAGGAGGCATTATGCCCTCTGTTGTTTGGAATGGAGTGATATTGGTTGGACTGTCTGTTTCATACAAGGCACTCATCGCCTGTTCATTTACAGTGACCCTTGAACTCTTATAATTGTCACGGCTCTGATACCCTTTATTCATGTAAGAAGTGCACGAATCAAACTAGGAATTTCACCCGTCAATGCCCCCTGTTGAGCACAGACATACGCATTGAATGGACGAACCAAATGTTTTTCTTCACAATTCGAAGAGTGTCTAAAATCCTAGGACACATAACTCTGCAATTATATTTTGATTCGTCAAGCTCAGTTTAAGTGACATACCAGTAAATCGGTGACCATGTTATGATAGAACTGTGGATGCAACTTCAAAGCTCTAATCCATCCCTGCCTCTTCCTTTTGCAGAGTGTTGTCAACTTGAATTGATTATCATCATCTAGGGCATATTCCGCGGCACTTGAGCAACGCCATGCTTTAATTTGGGAGGTTGGCACCATATACTCATAACAAATAATGTACTGCTGTGCATTCCTGTGATTTGATTTCCATTCAGGTATTGTCGAAATAAAACGTTTTTCCGTAATCAATCCCTGCTCAAAGGGATGAACGTAAGAAAAATAGTCACGGAAATGTTGATTTTGGCCAGTAGTAAGAACCGGGGCAGAAAAGCATTGATGCATGCTGGACAATGTATTGAGGGAGCTGCCCGCAAAAGTAGCCATAAGAACGATTGGGACAAGTCCGGTGTTCTTCGAGCCTGGCCGCGAGAATGTCTTCGAAGTGTCACCGGAAATAATACATGGTCTCTTTTTCAGTCCATGTCCGTTGTAAAACTTTTTATCTAGGCGCATTTGTTGTTCAGCAAGTTTCATAACAAGTTCAGTTGAATGTTCAGTAGGTAGCTTGTCCATTGCGCAAGTGAACAAAGGTCTGAACACTGAGTCGTGAATTGCTTGAACCGAACCGGCGGATTGCATTGAGATTTAGGAGTTGTTGAGTGGCAAATGGTGTGAATGGGATTTCGGAAAATTATCAGAGGGAAGCAGTGACAGCGTAATAATTAGGAGATATGATGAATGTGCTGGATATGGATGATGGGGATAAAGACAGTCGACCTTTTAAGTGCATTCAGGAATTGGTAGTAGACCGATTATTATGACCGAAGTAGTAAGTACAAGGAATTTGAACCCTTTTGAATTGCTAAAAAAAATAAATGCTCGTCGTGATGAAAGTAACCATGACAAGAACCAAAGAAACTCGATGTACTTAGTCCCTTGTAATCCGTAGAAGAAAGAAGGAGGGTAAACGTGACTGGTAACGGCTGGTGTAGCAGTGATTATTTCTGATTATTTGTGCATGTGAGTCAGTGTGGGTCCAACCAGTTGTCAACGTTACACGCCTCAATTTCTGCCCCTTGTTCTTTCTTGTTTTCATTGTTCTTCTTACCTTCACTTTAAATAAAAGTTGATTCTAAAAGCTCAAGGCATTTCTTTCCATCGACTGATACCCCAACTTCCTGAACATGTCCGATTCTGACGATTTTGATACCACCTCCCTTTATGTTCCCTTTGAAGGGATGTACATAACATTCTCATTTGACATTCAAGAAACACTGGATCTTCATCATTGCGACCCGGAGGACTACGCACATCTTTTCGAAGACATCAAGAACTTTCCTGCCGTGAAATATGTTGGAATCTTGATAGACGTTCGTGTTTCACTGCATAATTTGTTGAAAGTTGAAAGTTTCCACTGACCTTCGAAATTTCAGTATGCAGATCTCCCTTTACCTCAGACAAAATACCAAAAAGTCATGATTCGACCCCTCCAAAAAGGATTAAACATTCCAATTCCTCGATTTGGTATCGAAGAAGACATGTGTACCCCCGTTTCACCAGAGACAGACCATCCGTTATCACGAATATCTCTTCAGTTAAACAAGCCGCTTCCTTGGTCAGGTTGCTATCACCCCAACTTACAGGATATAAATGTAAGGTTACCCACAGAAAGTAGGGATTACAGTAATGCGTACGAAATGACGGATCGAAGCCTGTGGGAGATGAGAAAGTATTTGGGTCAAGATGCCAAGCGGAGAAAACTTCCACCAGAATCGGAGGTGAGTTTAATTACATGGAGTAAGTGGAAATTCTCGTACTCATTGAAGCTTACTGTCGTAGGTACCTGTTGAAGTTTCTTCCACTCATGAGCCAGGACCAGGCTCGCTTCTGGATATGAAGCTTCATGGTCTTGCTCAAAGCCGCCCAGATGAGCATGCTATTAATTATAGACTTGAAGGAAGTGAAGCAGGTCCAAGCCGAAAGCTTGTAATAGAGGGAATAGACGGCGACAGACGCCTCGAACTTGAAGTTCACCATCCTGCATTTGCCCCAATTATTGATACAATCCGACCTGACTCCGTCGATAATGACTCTGAATTTACACCCGTTGTGAAATTCGATTCAGATATATCAGCTGTGGACGATTTCCCAAATGCCTATGAACTTTACGATCATTTGGATGCATTAGAGGCGTAGGTGGATGTTTGAACCTAACTTCCTTGTTCTGATTGGTGTATTACAGACTAGTGAAAAAGTGCAAACAAGGTCCACCTCTAGCACCAGGAATTCAACTCGATATCACTGCAGCGGCAACAGTAGACATCAGCGCAGATGTGTTCACTACAAAAACCAATCACTTGCTGAATGAGAAGATATTTTCGATAAAGTTGAGAAGGTGCAGTATAACTTTGGCTTACCCATTGTCCTAGCCTGACATTCAACAGGCTAGCTTGGTTTCCTTCAAAGAAGCAAAACCTACCGGGTCCACGTAAGCCTACTAATGAGCTCCGAGTTGAAGCGGCCGAAAGCGATACAAATTCTTTGAACGGTGAAGAGGTTGTCTCGGTTCCATCCACGCCAAAGCATCTTAAGTCATTGATGAAGTGTGTAATCCCTGATTGACTCTCTGGTTTCAAACCTGATCTCGCTGTTTCCACAGTGTCATTGCATTTTTCCGACGAAAAAATGGACACGAACATGCTCAGGCCATTGACAGCCAATTCTCGACACCAGCGCATACTACTGTATCCGATGATGATGACTCTCGAGCTCCTGAAGCGCTTGCAAATGCCTCAACTGATGAGGACAATTTATCAACCCATATTGACAAGAACACATCGCAGTTTGGAAAAAGATCTCCCGCTACAAAACAATCACAACAACATAATAAGAGTCCAGTGTCTTCTCCCAAATCAATGAAAAACGGTGAGTCTCAGTTTTTGTTTCAAATCTTCTAACGTTGAGCCAAAATCTTCGAGCAGTTCTCAATAATGTATTGGGCCTTCGGCGGGGTTTCATGAGGATGCCACTTCGCCACTGATTAGGTCCGATTTTTCCGAGGGATTCGAGATAGCTGTGAATACCTGTATCTTTTATCAGTATTTCACAGTTGTATCACGATTTGGGACGTACCCCATTCAATAACAGACATCGAGGTTGTTCATACGAAGGTAGTAATTGCAAAGATCATTGGCGGTGTGATTAAATCTACGTTCAATGAGTTAAGAAATGGCCAGAGCTAGTGGAAGATCAGTGTCTCAGCTGTAAACGGAGGTTGTTTCCTTGAAGCCTTTGTGCTGAAAGGTAAGGCCGGAATGCAGCGCCAGTCGTAGTCGTAATCTCAGAACTACCCATCCTTTGTCCCTCGCTTTGCACTCCGCAGATGCGATACGTTTCTTGAAGGAAGTAGAAGTGTGGCCTGGAGATTCCATCTCAACTTCGCGGTACATCAAAGTTGGTATGTATTTGAACTAGCTATGATACATGTCCATGCTCTTTCCTACTCTTTCAATGCTCTTTCGCGTGTTGAAATTTATGCCTGGACGCAGAGACTGGCTACTCCTGGTGACACCAGGTCACTCTCTGGACGGATTTTTTTTTAAATTGACTTTGAGAACGTTCGGTGGGTGTATGATCGGATTGTTAACCATTTGTAAGTAGTGCAAGTTGTAAAGCTCCTTGCAATGACTTCGTAAAAGTTGCCTTCGCAGGAAAAAAAGAGCGAGGGCGCGCTGGCTTACTTAGACTAATACTACAATCCGATTGTTACCGTGTGAATGGTAGACATTCGTTACCTTGTACCAGCCTTGTATTATGACTTTGATGCTCAACTTTTGTTCTTCGATTGGCTTTGTTCTCACTCGCCATAATTACAGTCACCAATGCGAAAGTTTTCATTTTGCCCCCAATTCTACGAAACATGACTTCCGGATTCGATACTAGTTCACTCTTCGTTCCTTTCGAAGGGATGTATATATCTTTCTCTTTCGACATTGAGAAAACACTGGAACTCAATAACTGCTTCCCGGTGGACTATGCTCATCTCAAGGAAGAAGTGAAGAATTTTCCAGTCTTAAAATATGTCGGAGTTTTGGTGGATGTACGTGATCCTTCGATCTCTGAGTCGTTGCAAACACTAAATTTCCCGAAAGCACACAGACCTTCCTTTACCCAACGGAAATACCACAGAGTTGCTATTCGACCTCTTCAGAAAGGACTCAACATCCCCGTTCACCAATTTGATATCAGGGAAGATATGTGTACTCCAGTGTCACCCGAGACAGACCATCCACTGGCACGAACATCCCTTGAATTAAACAAACCGCTTCCTTGGTCAGGCTGTTACCACCCCAACTTTCAGGACATAGAAGTAAGGTTACCCACAGAATTCAGAGACTACAGGAATGCATATGAACTGACGGATTGGGGACTTTGGCAAATGAGAGATTATCTGGGTGAAGATTTTGAGAGGAGAAAGTTGCCGCTGGACTCGCAAGTGGGTACAACTTATTCGAAAAACCAATATCACATCCTCTTTATCTTACTTATATCTTCCTAGGAACCTGTAGAAATATCTTCAGTTCAGCCAGGATCAGGCTCACTGCTTAGCATGAAGCAACATAACCTAGCCCAATCCTACCCTGACTCTGGACTTGCTATAAGGATTCAAGGAAATGAATTGGGTCCTACGCAAAAGCTTGTTGTTGAGGGTACAGACAGTGATATACCCAAGCTCGAGTTTGACATTCACCATCCTGCATTTGCCCCGATCGTTGAAGCTTCTCGGCCAAACTATGTCGACAATGACGCTATCTTTACCCCAGTTGTGAAGTTTGACTCAGATATCGCAGCTTTGAAAGATATTCCTAGTGGCTTAGAGTTATGTCGTTGTTTGGATGCGCTCGAGGCGTAAGTTGTGCATTCACTCTTAGTCTCGACAAATCTTTCTTAATTCAATCGCCCGACTGCAGACTAGTGAGGAAGTGTCAACAAGGTCCACCTCTGACTCTCCAGGTTCAAGGCTGTATAACCGGAGCGGCGGATCTCAGTACGAATGCAGTTGCTGCAGAAACTAATCATCTGTCAAAGAAGAAGAGATATTCAAAGAAGTTGACAAGGTGTGTATTATATACTACATCAGCCACAATTTCCTCCCCCTGATTTCCAATTACAGATTCGCATCGTTTCTTTCGAAGACGGAAACTTTTACAGCGTTTCGTAAGCCTACGAAGGAGCTCAAAGCGACCATAAGAGATACGAGAAAATCTATCAATGATGAAGAGTCTTCTCCCAAATCAATGAAGAATAGTACGATCCGATTCATACTTATCATTCTGATATTGAACTAAGGTCTTTGAGTAGTTCTAAAGGATAAACTAGGCCTTCGGAATATCGTGCAAGGTTCCTTGAGAATGCCGCTTCACCACTGATCAATGTCTGTAACTCGGTTTCACCGGCCTCGAAATACCGTTGGCCTCCCACATTCAGTAGCTATCAATCTTCGAGAATGAATGGTTCGAGTTTTTCATGACCGCTAAGTATTTGGATACAGTATGATGGAAGGGACGAGGAAAAAGATCAAAGGTCCCGCATCCATTTTACAATTGTTGTTTGGGTATTTTTCCTGTCAAATCAAACCTGGAATATAAACAGTACAGTTTCTCCGAACCACGTCGCCATGAACTCGTGCTCTGTGGACGCGAAGCGTCGTTTCATCCAATGCCTAGAGCTTTACAGGTTGTCTTCCGATCCGGCGGTGTCCGACTAACCTGACGTTTGTCCTTTGTCCATACTTAACCCACCTCAACCTTGTCCTTTTTTCACATTGAATGATGATTAACAGATCAATGTGGGTCCAGCGGGTCGTCAGCGTTACTTGTGCGTTGTTTCGATCCTTGTTCTTCCTTATTTTTATTGTTCTTGATTCTGTTCTCATTATCCTTAAAGGATTCCAATTCCGTACCATCTCTTGTTAATCCTGAACATGTCGAACTCTGGCAAATACAATACCACCTCTCTCTTTGTTCCTTTCGAAGGAATGTACGTGGCATTTTCTTTTGACGTGCAAAAAACACTGGAGCTCCATCACTGCGATCCGGAGGACTACACACATATAAGTGAAGAAGTTGACAATTTTCCCCTCCATAAATATGTCGGGATTTTGGTGAACGTACGTGGCTTAATGTTTTCAACGAGTCCTGCCTTACTTATTATGACTGTATCTGTTTGGTTTTGAAGCACGTCCACCTTCCTCTACCCAATCGTAAATATCAGACAGTCTCCATTAGGCCTCTACAAAAAGGCTTGAACATTCCGATTCCTCGATTTGATATCCAGGAAGACATGTGCGTCACCGTTTCCCCGGAGACAAACCATCCACTATCACGAATTTCCCTTCAATTAAACAAGCAGCTTCCTTGGTCAGGTTGCTATCACCCCAACTTACAGGATTTACGCGTGAGGTTACCCACAGAAGATAGGGATTATAGCAATGCATACGAAATGACAGACCGAAGCCTTTGGCAAATGAGAAAATATCTGGGCGAAGATGCCAGGCGGAGAAAGCTTCCGCCAAAACCGAAGGTGAGATTTACAATCAATTTGATAAGTATTCCTGTTCCCAATCGAACTGTGCATAGATTCTTGCAGACAAATCTTCCACTTCTGAGCAAGGATCAGGCTCTCTCCTTAATATAAAGCGCTACAGCCTTGCTCAACGTCGTCCGGATGAGCTCAACGAGCTTACTGTTAAACTCGAAGGGAGCAAAGCAAGTCCGCGTCGAAGGCTTATGATAGAGGGCATTGATGGCGACAGACCCCTTCAAATTGAAGTCCACCACCCTGCCTTTGCCCCGATCATTGATACTATGCGGCCTGACAACGTCAATGGGGATCCCGTATTTACCCCAGTCGTCAAATTTGATTCAGATATATCAGCGATGAATAATTTTCCAAATGCATGCGAACTTTATGAGCATTTGGATGCATTAGAGGCCTAGGCCCCTTTCAGTTCATCTTTCTTTGCCTAATTTATACATTACAGACTAATGAAGAAGAAGTGTCAACAAGGTCCCCCTCTGGCGCCTGAAATTCAAAGCAATATCACTCCGGCGGCGGCAGAATTCAACATAAACAAAGTCACTGAAGAAACCAACCACTTGTCGAAGGAGACAATATTTTCGACGAGGTTGACAAGGTGCGGTGTCACTTGATATTGACCATTACTTGATCCTAATATTTTAATGTCAGACTAGTGTTCTTTCATTCAAAGAAGCAAATCTTACTACGTCGTCAGCCTACTACTGAGCTCAAAGTGGTCGAAAGCAATACAAATATTCTAAATGGTGAGGAGGATGTCTCTGTTCCCTCCAAGCCAAAGCATCTTAAGCCATTGATAAAGTGTGTGACATCCCTCATCGAGTCTCTACTTCTAAACCTGATCTTGCTCTGCTTCTACAGTGTCATTGCGTTTTTCCAACGAAACAATGGACATGAAGGTGCTCAGGAGTGCTCAGGCCATCGGCAGCCAACCCTTGACATCGGTTCATAGTAAAACTTTACCAAATGATGATGAATCTCCCGGAGCGCGTGCAAATGCCTCAACCGAGGAGGACCATTCAAAGAATCTGTCACAGTTTGGAAAAAGATCTCCCGCCACGAAACAAACACAACAGCCCCATAAGAGTCTGGGAAGTGGAAGAGAGTCTTCTCAATCGATGAAATACGATTAGTCTCAATTTACGTTTCAAATTTTCTAACACGGAACAACCACCTCGGGTAGCTCTCAAGAACGTATTGGGCCTTCAGAAAACTGGAGAGGGTTTTATGAGGATGCCACTTCGCCAATGATTAACTTCTATTTTTCCAAGGGGTATATATATTGAAATCATACTCGTCTCCTACTCGCACCGTATCCGTATCTAGAATATTCATGTAGCAGCAGATAGTAGCTTTGAACCTTGCCGCTAAGTCAGATATTCTGTATTACTTGTGCAGCGAGTTTGATTAGAGCTCCAAGTAGTGAAATCATATCATGGTATATATCAGGCTACTGGCAGAAAGCAGGGATTATATCACCAAGGATGGGTGGTTCAAGAAGCCTGACCAAAACCTCGGAAGCCTACTAATAAGCTCAAAGTGACTATAGGCCATCAATAACCAGTCCTTGACATCAGTGCCTGCCAAAGATGCAATACGGGGATCAGGGGCAGCTCCAGTGCCGTATGTGGAATGTCCAGGAGTACCAGGGAGTACCTACAAATGCCTCAAGCGATAAGCAAAGTTTATCGACACGCATTAGCAAAACCATCTCAGAGACTAGGAAACATCTGTTGCGAAAAAAACCCAATGACTCCTTCAGAACATCCAGAACATGGAAGAAAGACCTCCCAGAAGCAGTCAGCTGAATTTATGTTTCGCATCTTTTGTCGTTTAGCCAGACAAATTCCGTGTAGTGCTGAAGAAGATACTGAACCTTCAGAAGATCGGACAAGGTTTCTTGAGAATACCGCTTCGCCACTGATTAATTCCCGTTATTCCGGGGAACATTTGCGTCAAGATTATACTCGTCTATTACATTCAAGTTATGGCTCTCACTCAATCTTAGCATTCGGAGAGATGAACGGGTTCAGAATTATTGACGGCTAAGGGGTAGGATGCAGGGAAGAGGGAATAGACGAAAGTCTTTGCAAGATTTTTTACATCGTTGTTAGGTTTATGCGTCTCGTTCCTAGCAGCTGTGCTACCCTTCACACGAGTAACTTTTCCATCTCTGAAATATAGATGAAAATGAGCATTACAAGATAAAACGACCTCCGCACCCACCCTATGCAGTAAAAGTGGTCCCAATTGCACCAAATTTAATGTTGGAATATATGACTTGGGCATTTGGAGATTGAGCTTCCACAGTAGCAGGAACCCCAGATGAAACAGCGCAAGAGCCGCGAGCAACTCCAGGCTTGGTGCCTCCGTTCGTGGGGAAATCGCTGTCAAGCCAGAGCATGTTCACGGCGTAGTCGTCCCAGAGGCTGAGCACGAGCACCATACCAGCGGACATAGCTTTTCCCATTCCGCTCAAGCCGCCTTTGGAATCAAAGGTGTCGGTATCACCAAAAGCAACTTTCTGCTGTTCGCAGAAGGTGGCGTCAATTTCATTTGTGGCGGTAATTCCTGGAATATTCGTCTCCGAGTTTTGAATGACCTTTCCGTTTTGAACATAGAGACGACGGATTGCAGAAAGAGTGCCAGTACTCTGGTTGTTCGAGGAAACGAATTGCGTGACAACAGTGAATGGCTTTGTGGTGTCGACAGTCTGGCCTGGACCATAGAAGGTTGTGTCTCCGAGGCGGAATGAGTTGAAGTCACAGCCCGCCTGGTCACAAACACCTGCAGTCGAATTGGGGGAAGAGCATGTAGAGCCTGTGCACGCTGTTTGTTGTGTGACGGTGCAAGGATGAGGAGTTACAGCAGCGGACATCGAGTTCGCTTCCCAGACCTAAAAGGAGTTCGCGCGTGAGCAAAAGGAACAACGTTCAGAAGATCGGGAAGACCCACGTCCATCTCAGCACAGCAAGAGCCGGTATTCCTAGTTCCAGTGTTAGGATTGTTGGTAGATGGAGTCCAGTCAACGATATTAGCCTACACCGACGAGGTGAGCTCGCAGTAAAAATGGCCGATACACACTTACCAGGCCGTCGATAAACTTAATATCGTGTGGACATTGGGAGTCGCAGTAGCCGGTTCCATACTGAGCACCAGCTTTGTTAGTAGAGAATCGGGCCTACAAGGTCAAGTCAGGAGATGCAGAGATATACGTTGGTCCTCGCTCGCTCACCATACCACCGTCTGCATCCATCTGTGAGAAATAAAGGGCACCGTTCAAGCCACAGGGGAGCTGAGAAACATCCACATCAAAACTGAACTCTTGATTGACCAACTTGAATGTCTGATATTCGGTTTTGCTTCCCGGAGCCATCAAATACAAGCGAGAGCCAACGTTCTTCTGTTGAGAAGTAGTCACGAATTTGAGAGTGAGAGAGTCGCCATTGGTCGTGACACCATATGTTCCTGCGGATGTATGTCAAAGGCATCGAGGGTCTGCAATCGGAACCATGTACCTTGGTAGTCAGCACCATCGAGGGCACAGTTATTAGCACAAGTGGTGGGATCTTTCGTAGAGTCAGCGAAGTGGGAACACCAACATAGAAAACAAATGACCTGGGCAGAGAGCAGTGTCCCAAGTGTTGCCCTCATAGCAATTAGTCGAACTCGATGTCTGATGTAGGTAGCGCCAGTTCCCATCCAAAACAACTGAGGATGATTGCGTCGTGCAGCCTGAAGACGTACATTCCTGCCAGGTCAAAGGAGGATGATTTTCAGCAAGAAGTGTCCCTACATCTAGTCAGCAGAGGCTCGGTAAGGAATAACATGAACGAGTCCAGTACCAATCTGTTGGCCATAGGCAATGGCGAAGAATGTGCAAGTCAACAGAGCAGTAGAGCGAAACATGACTGCCTAGACAGATTTTCGAAGGGACAATGGAACCGCATGCGGTAGTACTCATTTTATAGGCATCGAATCCACAGCAGGTCAAAGCTTTCGCGGATATTTTGCGGGTGTTGATCTTTGAGCGAGTAGCTATTAATCCGCGCATTATCCGTCACTTTGTCTTGGGATCCCTGCGTTGAGAGCTTTGGCACGCACCTCTTGCTCAGACGGAAGTGTGAGATGTGCTCACGACAAGGATAATACACCTTCTCGGAAATATTTCGCAGCTTGAAGTGAAGGAAAAGGTCTACATTCTGACGAACATCTGTCCAAACGGCAAAAAACGGACCTTCACCAATACTTCGAGTAGTTGTAACGTATAGTTGTCTATCTCGAGGATCAAACAAAGTTTCCATATGTGGAATTGACTTCTGACGGGTGTGCTTCGTGAGGTGCATTCTATAATTCATGGAACAGACAGGCACCAGAGGTATTAATAATGCATGCGTATACTGAGGGACATGATCAGCTCACTTGACATGGCCATCCGTTTACAGATGCTGGATAGTCACATAGGAGTTCCTTGTACTGTCGCGGTTTGGTCTTGGCAAAAGTGCATGAGGAGGGGTGAGAGAAAAGGCCGGGAGAGTCCATCGAAAAACAACCCGGGCCCTGCGTTATACACATCTGTAGAAGAGAGATCGTTCGACGAGTTTCCCCAAGTTATTGGATACGGGCCGCCTATGGAACTTGGGCCAAGTGACCTAGCAGGAGGAAGCTCCGTGTCACGGTGGGTGGTTAGCAAGCCTGGATGGTGTGAAATGGTCAGGAGGGCAGGAGAGACAGTATTTGAAGAACGCACTTCAGAAGCGCTGAGTACTAAGACGCGTATTATCCGTCAGGTACATACATAGATGATTTCAAAGTGGGATAAAATGGGAGTGAATAATGTTCATGAGGATTATAAATTTGATTGAACGCTCAATGTGTCGTTTAAAACGTATTTCTCGCGAGGAAATTATCGACTATTCCTGTGATGAGCGCTCTACGAGGGTCGTCGAAAACGCGTTAACCAAACTTCACACGCTCCGAGCTAGCGCTCGTTCGACCATCTTTGCTTGATTCATCCAAAAAAAACCAACTGTTCCGGAGAAGAGGTTGCTAAAATATAGTCCATCCACCCAGTCCTCAACAGCCCTTCGCGTTGATTTGCAGGCCTCCTCATCACCTTCCGATTAAGCCCAAAGTCCTTCAAATTCTTGCACAGAGCCCCAAGTGAAATAGGCTTGTCGTGAAAAATGGCAATCCATTCAGCTATCTCGTCCAATTACAGAGACGGATCCTAGTGAGCTTCTGACATCTTCCTCGAACAGCATAGCGAGCCCTTCGGTATCATAATTTTCTTGCTGAAACTCTTGACAACCTCTGTGATGTCCCCATCCTTTTCAAGCAGTTGTAATGCTCGTTGCCTCAAATCTTCACTAATTCGATGATAAACCATTGACCAGCGGCGAGAGCGAAGACTATTTTTTGTATTATTGCCGAACCTTTAGGTAAGGCTCCTTACAAAAATGTATTGTATGATTCGTAGGGGGGATGCTAGGGGAAGTTGGATTTGTCCATTTCCCACGGGTCATGTGGTATTATGTATAATGAAGTCAGTGCAGATGCTCGGATCTTGACATTAGATCCGAAATGGAGTCACATTGACTAAATTGATTGTAAGTTACATTCAGTCAAATTGACTCATGTATTTCAATATAAATAAAGCTGTTGCATATTCTTTCCCCCCACCTCATATGTCTAAGTCAAATCCTTTTACTGCTTCCTCAGCATATCAAGCAATGCCCTTCAATGGGATTGCATCACCCGTTGTCGGGATCAATGAACCTGTTAATGATAATGATAATACTCTAAATGCTTCTGTGTTGCCATCTATATCTTTGTCACATTCAGCTTCCTCTTCATACAATGCATCTAATTTTGCATGTCTTACTGTTGCTCAAAAACAGTTGGTTTTCCATGCCCTGATTCAGTCATCCTCAATTCTTTGTAATGATCTGCGCAAAATGGCATCTTTACACCTAAATTTGAGTACACGCAATACTTACAATCAACATAAAAATAAAAGTGATTTGCTGACTGACTATGCTCAACATCAATGTTCTAATTATTGTCTGATCTATCATGCCCAGGCAGAGATTGTCAAGTTTTTTAGTGTTCCTAGCATTTCTCAGTTTGAATTTTTGGAGTGTGCCAAGGCCCTTGGACTTCGAAACTATAATCAGAAATCTTCCAATAAACGTAAATCTGAGCACATCTCCTCTTCACACAAAAGGAAGAAAGTTGCTCATAGTCCAACTCCAGTTCTCAATAGTACAAATTCAGATCCTGTTATTGACAGTGAAATCTGGCCTGAAATTTTAACTTTGGATGAAAAATTGGCCATTTTGCAAGAATCATATGATGCTGGCTGTAATACCTCTATCAAAAAGGTTGAATGTTCATTTTGTGGAACTCTTGAGACTGTAGACAAAATTTGTTCCATTCTTTGCACAGATTTGGATATTTCTTTACTGAATACAGCTGTGCAGGAGCTTTGTTCAAAGACAAAACAAGCTAAAATCAAAGCTTTTCAACAGCACACAATTAGTAATGGCTGCTACCAGCTCTGTATACAATGTAAACGTGAAGTGAGATTCAAAACATCTACTGACAATACCTCAGTACGTGATAAATCACAGCGTACTTTTGTCCAATTGCCACTGCGTAGTTATGCAAATGGAACTTGGACTGGTGATCTTCCAGATGCATTAAATGGTCTAACATTTCTTGAAGAACAATGCATTGCACGGGCTCGAGCTACTAAATGTATGTTCAAACTAGAGCTTGGCCCATCAGGACAGTATGCTTCTCGGGGAAATGTATGTATTTTTCCACAAGATCCAGGTCCTTTGGCAACCTGCCTCCCTCCTCCATTATCACAAATTCATGATGAAATTTGTGTTATTTTGGTAGGGTCTCCTGATGCAGAGATTACAATTGAAACTCTCATGCAAACACCTCTTCTTGTTCGAAGATCAAGAATTATTGAGGCTCTTGAATGGCTTCAGATGAATAATCCATTGTATTATGATCTCAATCTTGATACAATGTATAACAATGCAAGCCAATACCCAGAAAATGGCATTCCAATTCCTTTGAAGAGTGTTATCCGAATATCCTCCAATTCTGAAGGCTCCTCATATACTGCACAAGCAAACTTTGAACAATTTAATGAAAATGTTTCATCCTCTGGTATGCTGTCTTCAACAGTTGTAGATGCTGACCATATTGATTCTACTTATCAGATGCGCAAGCTTAGTGCACTACAACATCTCAAGAGGGGCAATAAACCTTTCATCAAATTTCCATCTGGATCTACTCCTTTATCCACATATAAGAATCCAAAACTTTATGCATATTTGTGGCCAACACTTTTTCCTTATGGTGTTGGAATAATGGAAAACAATGATATACACTCCAACAGTTCTGTTGGATTCCGGCATATAGATATGCGGGCTCATACTGCATATCTGTTGCAGAGCAAACCAAATTCTCGATTTCAAACACATTTATCATTTATTTTTGTCATAGGAAATATTTTGCAACGCCGCCAAACTTCTTTCAATGCAAAATTGGCTGTAAAGCGAACTTGGTTTCCACATGTCGAAATGTTACTTTGCAAGCTATCCAACAACACAATCACTGAGTTTTCAGAGAAGTTAAAGAAAAATCCATTTGTACATCCAGAAACTGAGGGTGAGAAGGCTGCTAAGCAACTCATGAAATATATCAACTATATTGGTGAAAATATTCCAGGCTCAATGTCAGAAGTTCAGAACATGAGAGAGGAATTATTTCCAGTTGTTCATACCAATGGTCTTCCTCATGTATTTCTCACATTGAATCCAAGTGATACAAATAATCCAATAGCTCAAGTTATTGCAGGACGTGATATTGATTTAAACCAGATATTTCATAACCTGAAGCCCCATACTGAGAATCTTGAACGTTCAACTTGCATTGCACAAAATCCCATTGCTGCTGCCCAATTTTTTGATATCTCAGTTAAAAATTTATTGCATATTCTACTAGGAACAAAACGTCAGAACAGAAAGGGTGTATTTAGTGAAGTTGCAGTATACTATGGTGTAATGGAAGCACAAGGCCGTGGTTCATTACACATTCATCTGCTTATCTGGCTAGAGCATGGCTTATCCCCCAATGAAATCAAGTGCAAGTGCAAGTCTGATCCAAAATGGGCTCAATATCTTACTGATTGGTATGATGATGTATTTTCTCAAAATATTCCTACACAGACTCAAAAATATATCCAAGCAAAGGGAATGTATAAACGACAACCAGTAATGAGCCGGCCAATGAATCCTCAGATTCCTGAATATTGGAATTCCTTTAACCAAGATCTCCGGAATATACTTGAAAATGCTGGTATGATACATGAGCATACTGATACTTGCTTTAAACATTTGCCTATTAAGCTGAGATCCTTGCGAGATGATAATAAAGATTGTCGTTTTCAACTTCCTCGGGATATTGTAGAAAAAACCCACTTTGATGAAGATGGATACCTTGTTCTCAAATGTAATAATGGTAATGTAAATGGTCATAATCCAATTATAACAGTTGCTGAACGTTGCAATACTGATGCAAAGCCAATTGGATCGGGATCAGTGGCAATGGCCATGTTTCAATATTTTGGAAACTATACTATCAAAAATACTATGGATACAGCCTTTGTTTTTTCTGCTCTATGTGCAGCTATCAAATTGCTCACTGAAAACCCCCCTATGGATATTGATGGGAACTTAGATACATATGAGCATAGCCGTCAATTTCTTATTAAAACTGTTAACAAACTCATTGGTAAACGTGAGCTCAGTGGTCAGCAAATTGCCAGTAAATTAATTGGGACACCAAGCTGTTATACAAATTGTAGGTATCCAATATTTTATTGGTCA